AAAAAAAAAAAATCTTACACAGGACTATGGTGGTGGCACACGGGTGATTTGGTGATGGAAGACCATGGGGATTATAACTGAGGTGAAAAAATGCACAAAATGATGTAAAAATTAACTATTATATTATTTTAAAAAATCTTACACAGTAAGGGTATGCTTTGTTATCATGTGGCAAATGGCAGACACCCTTTAGAACATGCAAGTTGGGGGGTTTAAAGGTGCCCCTCAGGGCCTCCTCAATGGTGCAAAAAGCCTTCTCCAGCCACTGCAGTATGAGTTTGATCCCTAGCTGGTCAGGGAGCTGACCCACAATGTGTGGCAGACCTCTCCTGTTTCGCCTGCTGCTCCCCTCAGCTGTGGGTTTCAGTGGATTTACTTGTTCTGCTCTATACCCTCTCTTGTGAATCCTATTAACCCCTGCACCTCTGTCCAGCACCCCAGTTCTTGTATTAATAAATAAATAAATCTTTTTTTTAAAGGCACCCTTTAGGATCATGCTTAGAGAAATAAGCCAGAAAGGAAAGGAAAAATACCAGATGTTTTAACTCATAGCAGGAGTATAAAGGACCTGGGGAGAAAATAATAACAATAATAATGAACAACTACATACCAGAAGCATTTTACAGTGTGGAAGTTGGGAATGGTATCAAAACCGAGGGTGGGGGGAAGTGCCCTGGACTATGGTGATGGCACATGGGTGAATTGGTGATGGGAAACCCATGGGGATTACAAATGAGATGGGAAAAGGCACAAAATGATGTAAAAATAAACTATTATTAAAAAAAATAAAAGGCACCCTTCAGTCTGCCTGCTAACAAGGGGATCCCAAAACTGCCTCTCCCACATCCAATATCTGCTCTCTCTCACTTTAAAGTAAGAGATGTGCTGTCTCCATGGTGGCTCCATGGGGTGAAAGCACAGCACTATGAAGCTACTGGCAGCCATCGCAGCATGAGTTTGCTCCCCAGCCAGGGAGCTGACCCACGTGGCCCAGCAGACCTTTCCTGTCTCACCTGCTGCTCCCCTTAGCAGCGTATTTCAGTGAATCCACCTGTTCTTCTCCCAACTCTGTCTCTGATGAATCCTCTCACCCTTCTTCTGCTGTACCTGTGGCCTGTACCCCAGTTCTTGTGTGCATAAATAAATAAATCTTAAATAAAGTAAGAGATGTTTAACAGGACACAATCAACCAGCCAAAAAGTACATTTCCCAGCTTTCCTAACAGCTAGGTGACCAGGTAACCTGGATCTGCCTAGTAGGATGTGAGTAGAACTGACAAACATTCCTGTCAATAAAAGAGGAGGTTGTCCTCCCTGTTGAAATGTACACTTGACGGTTACTCAATAGCACACTCCTAGGGATCATAGAGCAAACACATAGAGGAACTAGACCCTGGCATTCTATTAATGTCACACAAACCCTACTCAGATAGTGACAGAGAGAAAAAACTACTCAAGGGTGGTGGTGATTAGGGGTATTTGTTGGAGACTAGCTCCAACTTTTGAGGTATCTGGAGGCAGCACAGGCAGGACCCTAAGATGGGAAGGCGTCGGTGAGGGGAGATTCCAAAAAGGGAGTCAGGTGTCGGTGAGGGGAGATTCCAAAAAGGGAGTCAGGAGCGGGTGCGAGGAAGACACGGGAGTCAGGATAGGGTGCAAGTCTTCCTGCTTTTCCTTCAGCAGGTCTTTATTTATACTGTGTAGCAAGTAGTTAATTGCAATAATGCATAGGGTAAATTAATGAGATATCTCCATAAAACATTCTCAAGGACAAGGGGAAAAAGCATTCTTCTCTTTACAATTTATGGTATGCTAAATTATACGTTTTTGTGACAGTTATCATATATACAGCTGTCTAGTTATCATCAAAGGAAGAGGGGTCTGGGAAAGGGTGAGCTTGTTAACAAAAGGTTGTTAGGGGTCTTGGGGTAGTAATAAATTGTGTTAGCAGTGTTAGCAGTGATTGTCTAAAGAAAAGCTACTGGCTAATTTAAGGCTAGCAGAGAGTAGTTAGTGCTTGTTTTAAAAAGGAGTAAATTAAGAGAAAGTTGTACAGTTGTATATCAAACAACACCTGTGTAG